GGTATTCTCCAGACCCAAAATCTAACATTCAAAACCTGTGATTTTGGGAAGAATATAAATAGCAGAATCTGTTAAAGACATGACTTCTAAATTCGGAAAGTTGGATAAGTTTGAAGGCACTGATTTTCGTCGCTGACAGAAGCAGATGCATTTCCTTCTCACTACCCTGAAAGTTGTTCATGTTTTGAGCACTTCTGCACCAGAACAGTGGAGGATGAGACCCTTAAACATACAAGAAGAAGATGAACATGGGAAAATGATGATTACATCAGTCGTGGTCACATTCTAAATAGTATGTCCGACTCTCTCTTTGACATCTATCAAAATCAAGAATTTGGAAAAGATTTGTGGGATGCCCTTGAATCCAAATACATGGCAGAGGATGCCTCAAGTAAGAAATTTCTTGTTAGTAATTTTAATAATTATATGATGGTGGATTCATGGCCTCTCATGGAACAGTATAATGAACTCATGAGGATTTTGGGACAATTTGAACAACACAAAATGCAAATGGATGAATCCATTTATGTCTCAAGTGTTATTTACAAATTCCCCCAATCCTGGAAAGACTTTAAACATACGCTGAAACATAAAAAAGAAGAGTTGTCTCTAGTACAACTTGGCAGTCACATGAGAATTGAAGAAGGTCTTCGGGCATAAGAAAGTGGCAAGGGAGAAGAAAAGGAAGTTATTGGATCTTCAGTAAACATGGTTGAATATGACAAACATCATAAAAATAACAAAAGAAAAGGAAGAAGAAAGATGACCATCATAAGCGTTCAAACAAGAAAGCAAAACTTGTGTGTTGGAATTGCAACAAACCAGGTCACATGAAGCGAGATTATCGTTTGAAGAAGAACAAAAATGGTGCAAGCACTTCTGGACAAGGATCTAATGATCAAGGTCCAAAACCACAAGGTCAAAATTTTATTTCTGAAATTACTACCGCTGCTGTTATATATCATGTAACACTAATTCTTGAATCATTCTATGTTCAGGATGATGATCATGCATGGTGGATAGACTTGGGGGCGACAAGTCATGTGTGTAAAGATTGCTCTTCGTTCAAGGATTATGAAGTAGTTAATGATGGATCGGTGTTGTACATGGGAGACCATATTAAAGCACCTATTGTGGGTTGTGGTTGTGTTTCATTATGCTTTAGTTCTGGAAAAATTCTTATTTTTAAGGATGTTATTCATGTTCCTAAGATTAGAAAAAACTTAGTTTTTGGTGGTAAGATGTGGATATAAACAAGTCCATGAATCTGATAAATATGTATTATCTAAGTGGTACATTCGTTGGGTTTGGATACTATTGTAATAGAATGTTTAGGTTGAATATTAACAATAAAGTTGTAGATTTTATATACATGGCTTGTTTTAGTTTCGATGAATCTTCTTTATGGCATGCTTGTTTAGGACATGTACATTATAAAAGAATGCTTGAAATGTCTAAAAATGGATTAATACCATATTTTGATGTTATCATAGAAAAATGTAAAATTTGTATGTTAACTAAAATAATTAGATAATCTTTTCCTAATGTTAAAAGGAATTATGTTATGATTGAATTTATTCATAGTGATCTATGTGATTTGCATTCAAATCCATCATTAGGAAATGAGAAATACATAGTTACTTTTATAGATGATTATTCTCGGTTTTGCTATGTATACTTGTTACATTCCAATGATGAAAGCCCTTGATAAATTCAAAATTTATAAAAATGAAGTTGAATTGCAACAAAATGATTTAATCAAAAGACTTCGCACTGATCGTGGTTGAGAGTATTATGATCCTAGTTATTTCCAATCTGTTGGTATTATACATGAAATAGCTGCTCCATATACTCCTCAACAAAATGGGATTTCTGAAAGGAAAAATAGAGTTATAAAGGAAATGGTGAGTTCTATGTTGTCTTACTTAGGTTTGAGTGATGGTTTATGGGGAGAAGCTATGCTAACTGCATGTTATCTTTTAAATAGAGTTCTAAACAAAAGGAACAAGATAACTCCCTATGAACTTTGGTACAAAAGAAACCAAACTTAGGATATCTTAAAGTTTGGGGTTGTCAGGCTATTGTGAAGCTGACTGAACCAAAAATGAAATCTTTGGATGAAAGAGGTATTGATTGTATCTTTATTGGATATGATGAGCATTCCAATGCTTATAGGTTTTATGTTGTAGTTACTAATGCTTATGTTTCAGTTAATATTGTTATAGAATCTAGAGATGCAATATTTGATGAAAATCGATTTTCATCAATACCTAGACCAAAGGATTTGGTTTCTAGTTCCAGTGGGACTACTAATGAAGCTGCACCTGATTCAAATGAATCACCTGAGCTTAGAAGAAGCAAGAGACAAAGGAAAGCTAAATCATTTCGTAGTGATTTTCAACTTTAGCTAGTTGAGGGTACTAGAGATGAAATTGCAAATCAATATTCATATTGTTTTAGTGTTGAAGAGGATCCTAAAACATTTGATGAAGCAATGAAGTCTCAAGATGTTGCTTTCTGGAAATAAGCAATAAATGATGAGATGGATTCCATCATGGGAAATAATACTTAGGTGTTGTCTGATCTTCACCCTGGATGCAAACCTTTGGGTTGTAAGTGGATATTCAAAAGGAAGATGATAGTTGATGGATTAATTGACAAGTTTCAGGCTTAATTGGTTATTCAAGGTTTTAGACAAAAACCTGGCATTGACTATTTTGACACTTATGCTCCAGTTGCTCATATATCTACCATTAGACTGCTGATTGCATTGGCAGCAATTCATAATTTGGTGATTCACCAAATGGATGTTAAAAAAATTCTTAAATGGTGACTTAGAGGAAGAGGTGTATATGAAACAACCTGAGGGTTTTATTATGCCTGGAAATGAACATAAGGTGTGCAAGTTAGTTAAATCTTTATATGGGCTAAAGAAAGCACCAAAACAGTAGCATCAGAAATTTGATTGTCTTGTCACATGGTTTCAAGTTGAATCAATCAGACAAGTGTGTATACACCAATTTTGATGAGTATGGCAAAAGAGTGATCATATGCTTATATGTAGATGATATGTTAATCTTTGGTACTAATCAAAGGCAAGTTGGCATGACCAACGAGTTTTTATCATCTCGATTCTCGATGAAGAGTATGGGGGAGGCAGAAGTGATTCTTGGAATAAGAAGCAAGCGTGAACATCAAGGAATCTCAATTTCACAGTCTCATTACATTGAGAAAGTGCTTAAGAAGTTCAATTGTTCTGATTGTTCTCCTGTGAGTACACCTTTTGATCCAAGTATGAAACTTATGCTAAATATTGGTGAAGCAGTTTCACAACTTGAAGATTCAAAGGTCATTGGGTGTTTGATGTATGTTATGACCAATACAAGGCTTGATATTGCATTTGCTGTAGGAAAGCTAAGTAGGTTTACTAGAAATCCTAGTACTCATCACTAGCAACCAGTAAGGAGGGTGCTGAAGTATCTAAAGAAACCCATGGATTTTGGTTTGACTTATGTAGGGTTTCCTTCGGTTATTAAAGGATATTCAGATACTAGTTGGATCACTAATGTTTAGGGCCGCTCTTCTACAAGTGATTGGCTGTTTCTTCTTGGTAGATGTGTCATTTCATGGGCTTATAAGAAACAAACATGCATCACAAATTCGACTATGGAATCTGAATTTGTAGCCCTTGCAGTTGCTAGAAAAGAAGCAGAATGGTTAAGGAATTTGATCTATAAAATTCCTTTGTGGCCAAAGCCTATATCACCTATTTCTATACACTATGATACTGATGCCACCTTGGCAAAAGCTTATAGTCAAGTGTATAATGGAAAGTCGCGACATTTGGGTGTTAGGCGCATCATGGTATGTGAGCTCAATACTCATGGTATCATTTCTGTTGAGTTTGTTAGATGTCAACAAAACTTAGCTGAATACTTGACGAAGGGATTAACTAGAGACTTGGTAAAGAAGTCTGTTATAAGGATGGGTTTAAGGCCCACTTGATATCTCTATGAGTGAGATACCTAATTCCCTTATAATACAATGTTAGAAGTTGAATTCAATGTGGAAAGCTTGCTTATGGAGATTGAATCATATTTGTTTACTACATCCCAAGGTATATTTTTTGAATATGAGAAATGGACAACATAATGATTGGTCTTTTGGAGCATAATTTAAGTTTCTCCATAATTTGAAATTTTATTTTTCGCTCTCTAATGGTTTATGTAGGGGATGATATCATCATTTTCTAAGGTTAGCAATGATGAATATCTTCACCCAAGGACCGTATAGTGGGTAAAGTTGAGCATGTGCAACAATTGAGTTCATGGAAATCAATGAGCTCCTTGCGGGACTTTATTACATCGTGAGGTTTAATCAAGAAATCATTGATAAATCTTTAATTGGGGCTGCTTGCTTGATGAGGTACTTTGACCATAAGATTTGTTTACTTTATGTTTTCTGATGTTTAATTAGATTTCTTTTTATAGTGAAAAGCATGAGTAATTACTCATTTTGTCCCCTTATAACCATGTTCACTTTTCTTAAAAAGGTAAAATGGAGAGTTTGATGATAAAAATGGGTGGTTACGTTCATAATGTAAATTGTTATTGGATTCTTGAATTGTCTTTATATTATCCACATAAACGGGCTCTCAGGACCTAGGTAAAATTTGATTTTGTTGAGAGAGCTGGATTTATAACATCCCAACTTTTATAAGCATATAGTTCGATCAATAATGTAATTATGGAACCTATTAATAAAGTTATTACTTTTTTAGTAAAACTATTAGTTTTAAGAAGAAAATTTTAATTAAGAGAAGTTCCAAAGCCTAAAACCTATGTGTGTGTGTTTTTGTAAGTTGTCATTTTTGTAATCTGATCACATCATAATATTGGTTATTTGTTAACATACTTCTGTTAATTGTATAATTGTAAAGTCTTTCCAGAAGAAGTGTGATTATATCATTGTTATAGAGATAACTAAGTAATAACAATGTGATGCTTGACACAGAGGATCAGATCTTGAATCCATGGCCTCAGTTTGCAAACAAATATAATTTTCTCCTACTTATTCCACGAAGTATGAATTAATTCTCTTCCATTTACTTGATATGATGATTTTTTTCTCAACCGTCTAATAAATATGTGTGTTTTTACAGGATTCAAGCTGTGTATGTTGAAGCTGGGTACATATTGGTTGTGCTATGTTTTATGATCAAACACAATGGATAATCGGTGTCAACAGGTTTTCATTTTTATAATTTTATATTTTCGCCGTTATATTTATTCTTATTCTTATTATCTTTTTAAATTGCACATTACGACTTCCATTTTCCATCCACTGACTGGAAAGCTACTTGGTGAAGTGTTGATCAAGAGTTTGCAAGACAATAAGTTACGTTACTAGATTATAAAATTTATAAATTTGGAATAAAAGATTAAAATTTTATAAATATTGGTAGTTATAAATTTCAGGCTTGTGAAGCTAATAGGTTTCTCACTTGGAGATATTAAATTTACGAATGGTTTCACTCAATGGCTTCAAATCAAAAGTGTAACACCCCTGGGGAGTTTTCGTGTCGGGAGCCCAAAGCGGATAATATTGTGATACGTGCCAGAGAGGATGTTACAAAAGGGTTTGTCCCATTAAGTACTTCAAATCAAAAGGGTTTCACTATGAAATTACAGAAATGGTCCCTGATATGTAAATATTATAGTAAATGATTCCTAATTTAGGCAAAATGTAAATTACAAAAATGATTCATGAATAAGAAAAATGAAAATTACACACATACACAACTTTACAGAAACACATTACAGAGACTCATTTGAAAATTTATACTTTTACCCTTTATGGATTAAAATCATTTTTTTAAAATCCATAACTTTAATACAATTTATCCGTCTAATTAATATATATACAAAAGAACATAGATTCACATGAGGTTGAATTTAAAAAGACAGACACACATTTGAAAAATTAGAGTTTTACCCTTTATGTTATACACAATAAGACATACATAACAACAGGGACACACATATAAATACGATCATTAACACATACAGACACAAAAACTACACAGTAACTCACACAACCACATATTCTATAATTTAAACATGGAAAAAATGGTCACATCCAAGCATAACATGCACAACAGTTAAGATATGGCACGTTTATAGAAAGTTGAAAGTACATTGCTATTAAAGTCTTTTTAGAAACATACGATCATTACATGTGATTGAAAATGAACCAGCCACATTTGGTATATATGATGCCTTTCTTGCAGAAATCGTCTTGATTGAAGATGTGAAAGCAAAATATTTGTTGCCAATTGGAATGAAAGCTAAAACAGTGTGACTGACTGATATAAAATTTAGATGAAGTTTGACGTGTATAGTACTTCAGAGTCAACCAATTATAGTGTTCTATTGACGTGTAAGATTATGTAATTTTGATTTTTTGGGATTCGTTAAAATCCTGATGTTGCAACATCTACTTCTATTCTATTTCATTTTTAAGCATCGTACTTCAGAGTCAACCAATTATAGTGTTCTATTTTCGTTACCCACCAAACATCAACAAAAAAATCCGACCCGTACAATGCACATGCCTTTTTACTAGTTACATTCTAATTTTGGGTTAAACATTTCATACAAAAAAAAATAATAATAATAGATTTTTTTGAGGCCTTCGGTTTAGCCCAACAAATCAGCCCAACAATTTGACAATTAAGGGTTGTTTCATCTCTTAACTATTTAATTAAAAAAAGTACCGCTGAACCATTAAAAGCCTCAATTTTATCTCCGAATTGGTCGGAGATTAGATATGTGCGGAACGATTCATTTATTTATGTAAAAATCTCTCTTTTACCCTAATCTAAAAAACGTCTCCAACAGTCCAACAGCTTCTTCCTCCCTCTTATTTTCCCATCCGCCGGCCACCAGAGAAGTGCTCCTCCCTCCGTCGACCCGTGCAGCGCCGTCGGAGATATACTCCTCCAGGTAATCTCAACCGGCGGTACCTTCTTCCTCCGTACCCGGAGCCACCGCCGTCCTTGCCGTCTTTCGCTTCCCTCGAGCTTTCAGGGAAAAATCCTTCGTCCGTCGACACACAGTTGGTTATAGCAGGTACAAATTCCGTTCAATTTTGCTAAAGTAATTTGATTGTACAAGCTTAAGTAAGCAGTTGATTCTCTACGAACCCACCACCACTTTTATCAACAGTCGTCTTCTTGATTTGTACGAAGAACTTTTGGATGCAGAGAACGTGTTCGATAAATTGCCCCAATCAGATATCTTCACTTACAATGCCATGTTAATAACTTTTGGATGCACATATGAAACACATAAACTTTTTATAGAGGGCAAATAAGTGTCTTCGCTTACAGGGCACAGATGAAGCAAATAAACTTTTGGATGTCTATACTTACAATGCCATGATAAATTGCCCCAACTAGATGTCTTCACTTACAGGGCAAATAGATGAAGCACATAAACTTTTGGATGTCTATACTCTATACTAATGTAATGAGATAAAATTTACATTTTTTTGTCCCACTTTAGAAAAAATATGTCAGGAAATCACTCTCTATTTCCTGTTTATGTAAGAAAACATGATGAAACCCATCAAGACATGGTGGGACAAAGTCACAGAATCTCTCATGAGACTAGGGAATCTCTTGTGATTAATGTCGATGAAACGAAAATTGTAAAAAAAAAAAAAAAAAAAAAACACTCAAAAAGATAAATTGCTCTCAATTTCTCGCTTGTTAAAAAGACATCTCCATCCCATCAAACGAAAAATGTTAATAAGACAAAATTTGCAACTCTTTATCACACTCACAAAGGTGGGATAGATAATCGCTCTCGATTTCTCATTTGTAAAAAAGACATGAATGTCTTCTTTATCCGATCAACAAAATAGCATTAGAAAGCCTTTACATTCTCATACAACGGGACAAGAAATCTCTCACAATTTCTCATTTGTACAAAAGACATAAATACCCTTTTCATCCCAATTATCGAAATAGCCTTATAAAGTTTGTTCAATCTTGTCATGTCCAATGTAACAAGTACAATCTACAAGACCAGACCGTACCATAATTTGTCAATATTTTTTTTCTCATATCCATTGCACAAATAAAAATTGTCCATTTGATTCTAAAGAAAAAAATGAGGGAAACAAAATTTCTAAACAGAAACTTGGAGGTAGAAAATGAAGAAACGATATCCTTGTGATGTTTTCATGTGTTTACATTATACAAATTAGAATATTTATGATATCATTTTACATGCCTATGAGTATATTATACTTTATAAATATTACAATCTTTATGTTTATGAACTTTTCTAGGATTCCATATTAATTATAATGCCACGAAAGCCAACGAGAAGAACTCATTTACAAAAGCCTCAACATGCCTTCTCTCGCTTGGGTCGTTCCATGGCCTTAATTTTCTCTGCACGAAAGGCCAAGCAAACAAAATGACATAAAAGCCCCTTCCAACTCAACAGGCATGATCTCTCTCCTAAGGGCAAAATGGTCATTTTTGTTCATGGATTGTGAAAGCTAAAATTTTATCTGGTTGTTTACAGGTAGCAAAAAGGAGAAACATGATACCATAAAAGCAAATAGAGAAGTGTCATGTTCTTCTTCTGAAAATGAAGATTCTTCTTCAGAAGACGACTTTGAGGTATTTATTTATTCACATTTGACCCTTCTAATAAGTTGAAGTTTTTATTTCTACTTTTTATTAAAATTATGATTTTCTTTTAAGGGAGTTGTTCAAGCAGATTTTGTCTTTTTTGACCCAAAGCCTGATGATTTCCATGGAGTAAAGGTCTTGATGCAGACTTACCTTGATAATAAAGAATGGGATTTGACCAGTTTTGTTGACTTAATATTGCAACAAACTTCAGTGGGAACAGTTGTTAAAATAGAAGATGATGAAGATGAATCAGTTTATGGCTTTGTTTCTGCTTTAAATTTACAAAGATATAAGGTAAAAATATTCATTTACATTCCACTTTTCTTTGAAACATGATTGAGAATATATGGTGGTTGTTTAATCCAGGATTGTAAATGCATGATGGAAGTGAAAGAGTTTTTGCTATCAAAGTGTCAAGAAAAAGAAATAAAAGAAAATTTAAAATCATTTTTAGGGGAGAAAGCAGCTGATGTTGGTCTTTTGATCTCACAACGTGTTGTAAATCTCCCTCCTCAGCTTCTGCCATCATTGTATGATGCTCTTTTTAATGAAATCTCTTGGGCTACAGAAGATGAGGTTAGATGATTACTTTACTATAAACTTTTCTCCCAAGGGTAAAATGGTCATTTACTCACATTCAGACAGTTTATTCAGTCCAAAAAAGAAACAGATTTTGTTTATACAACACTTACTCTAGATACAACACATATTCTAGACAGACCTCATCTCAACAGCACTCTAAACAGAAGGGTAAAATGGTCATTTACTCACATTCAGACAGTTTATAAAAAAAGAAACAGATGTTGTGTATACAACACATACTCTAGATATTGTGTATACAAATACATATTCTAGACAGACCTCATCTCAACAGCACTCTAAACAGAAGGGTAGAATGGTCATTTGTTCTCATTCAGTCGAAATAAAGAAACAGACCTTGTGTGTACAACAGATACTCTTGAGTTTAGACAGACATCATTTACCCACCTCAACATCACTCTAAATAGAAGGGTAAAATGGTCATTTACTCACATTCAAACAGTTTATTCAGTCCAAAAAAGAAAGACTTTGTATATACAACACACTCTATACATGCGCATCATTTACTGACATCACTCTAAATAGAAGGGTAGAATGGTCTTTTACTCACATTCAGACAGTTTATTTGGTCTAAAAAAGAAACACACAGACTTTGTATATACAACACATACTCTATGCATGCACATCATTTACTGACATCACTCTAAGCAGAAGGGTAGAATGGTCATTTACTCATACTCACATTCAGACAACTTATTCAGTCCAAAAGCGGAACAGAATTTGTGTATACAACACATACTTTAGACATGCATGATGGCTGATGCATCATTTACTCACCTCAGCATCACTCTAAACAGAAGGGCAGAATGGTCTTTTACTCATGTGAATAACTAGAATTATTTCTAATTTAATACCTTCTTATCTTTTTGATTATAAAATATCAATTTCTAATTTTTGTTTTATAGCCTACACAGGAGCTTAGGAAGTTATTCTGCTTCAAGTATTATTTATTGATCAGCAAAATTTATAAGGTAATGTATATATATGAGTGTTCTTTTGGTTTATACTTTGAATTATAATCAGCATTTTATTTATTTATTTATTATTTTATTGTCGACTTTTAGCTTAAGAATGTTGACAAGAAAAAGAAGGGAAGCAGCTCAAGTGAAGAAGCTATAATTTACTTGAAGCCAGAAGATGAAATATTTCATAATGTACCCTTCTCTTTTTCTAATTATTTATTTAATTTTTTTTAGCTTGAGGAATTCTGATTTATTTATTTATTTTTTATTTTTATAAATCCATCAGCTAAGTGCATGGTCCTTCTGCTTTCCCTTGCGCACCCAACAGGTCACCACCAATGAGGTAAGTTTTATTAAAATAAAAATTAAGTTATTTAAATATATAAATAATTTATATTAATATTTTCTTAGTTTTATTTAAAACTTAAAGTCATTTCAGTTTGATTAAAACCTACGAACAGTGTTAAGTTAAAACGACATAATTTGAAGTTACAAAAAATAAAAAATAAAAATAGAAATTCTTTATATATTAAAATAATTTTAAAAGTAAATACAATTGAAACACTAGTGATTGTGTAATATGTTCTCTTGTAGCTGAAAGAGTATCGATTGATGGGTTTAGTGATGGCCGTTAAAGCAACCAGTGTTCCAACTTTTCGACGACAGTTACGTTCATTAACAGACGAATGATAAGTTTTTAGAAAGCGCACATTTAGCCCTTGCGGATTTATTTCTTCATTTTCTACCTCCAAGTTTCTGTTTAGAAATTTTGTTTCCCTCATTTTTTTCTTTAGAATCAAATGGACAATTTTTATTTGTGCAATGGATATGAGAAAAAAATATTGACAAATTATGGTACGGTCTGGTCTTGTAGATTGTACTTGTTACATTGGACATGACAAGATTGAACAAACTTTATAAGGCTATTTCGATAATTGGGATGAAAAGGGTATTTATGTCTTTTGTACAAATGAGAAATTGTGAGAGATTTCTTGTCCCGTTGTATGAGAATGTAAAGGCTTTCTAATGCTATTTTGTTGATCGGATAAAGAAGACATTCATGTCTTTTTTACAAATGAGAAATCGAGAGCGATTATCTATCCCACCTTTGTGAGTGTGATAAAGAGTTGCAAATTTTGTCTTATTAACATTTTTCGTTTGATGGGATGGAGATGTCTTTTTAACAAGCGAGAAATTGAGAGCGATTCTTTATCTTTTTGAGTGGTTTTTTTTTTTTTTTTTTTTTTTTTTTACAATTTTCGTTTCATCGACATTAGTCACAAGAGATTCCCTAGTCTCATGAGAGATTCTGTGACTTTGTCCCACCATGTCTTGATGGGTTTCATCATGTTTTCTTACATAAACAGGAAATAGAGAGTGATTTCCTGACATATTTTTTCTTAAGTGGGACAAAAAATTGTAAATTTTATCTCATTACATTAGTCTTGGTCCAAAATGTGAAACCTATTAGCATTGAAATCTCATTGAAGGGGATTTTTGATAACCTCTAAGTGAACCATTTTTAGTTCACCATTGAATTAGTTAACATTCATTGTGTTTGATACAACCTCTAAACTATCTTTAAATGGTTATGGTGTGTTTGATACAACCTCTCAATTATTTTTAAATGGTTATGGTGTGTTTGATACAACCTCTAACTATCTTTAAATGGTTATGGTGTGTTTGGTTTTCACAGTTTTTTTGAAAAAATTCCTAAGAAAAATCAAAAAGTTAGAAAACATGTTTTGTTCAATATTTTTTTTTTCAAAAATTTTCGAAGAGATTTTTTTTTCAATTACATATAACTTGAAAAGTGATTTTCATATTTTTCAATTTCTAAACTTTTTGTAAAATATAAGCCCAACATGCACCCACATCCCTACCTAACCGCACACTCCGAACACTAGGGGTGTTCTTCGGTTTAAATCACATGGATTTTGATGGAACCGATCCAATCTAATTATCTATTGGATGTTAGATTTTGTCAATCGATCAAATCTAATTCGGTATAGGCAACCAAACTAAACAAAATCCAATTGGATGTTGGATTGGAACATTTTTATCCATGATATATTTTTGATTGATTATCCAATGCCTAACTAGTTTTTATCTAATTGCTATCAAATTAAACAACTAACTATAAATACATAATTATGATAATTGATAATAACAATGGATGTATTTGATTTTTTTTATCTGAATAATATTAATTGGATAATAATAATGGATGACAATTGGATATTTATTAGATGAGGATATTGGATAAACGTTGGATCAGTTAGGTTCTATTCCAATTGGATTTTGAAATTTTAAAACCGATCCAATCCAATCGTAATTGGATCAATCGTTTCAAATTATGTTAGTTAATTTGCACATCCATACCCCACAATATACCCGCCTCCTCCACACCCACATCACACCTACACTTCCACCCTATCCTACCCACCCCACCCCACATCTACATCAACACTCATCCCTACTATTACACCTACACAAATATCTATTACTCTCCTTACCCATATCTACCCCACCTTCACATCCACACCCGCCCACCCACATACACTCACATCCTCACTTCCACCACTACATCCACACATACCCCCACTCCCATACTTATATTCCATCTATCAAATATTTAATTTTGACAAAGTAATTAGCCATAATTTTCAAGAGTAAACTTTATTTGTAAATTATTCAAATAATATAAAAGGTTTATATACGACAGAATAAACTAATACAAATATTATTTCTTGCAAATTGTATGGACAAAATGATCATTTATATAATATTACTATTACAAGGTGAACATTTTTGTAATTTTTATAATTTCTGCTATTAAACACCATTTATGGAAATTTGACTATTTTATGCAAACTGAAGGATATATGAATCCTTTCTTTTACTATTACACAAGAACCATTTATGTAATTCTAAAAAATAATAATAATACCGACATTAGAAAACTATAGTTTGATGTGCCCTTAAGAACAATGCACAACATTTGCTAAATGTTACGTAGGTAGTATATAAAATTTTATATTATTTGTTATAACAAACATTGGAAAATTAAACCGATAAAAAATATACATCTAAACACGTCTTTCAATTTTCTAAAATGAAAAATGAAAAACCAATCAATTCTAACCAAACGTGTTTTCTAAATACTGAAAACTGAAAATAAAAACTCTACCCTTTTTTTTTAATTTTCTTTTCTAAGAAAACTAAAAATAATTTTCCACAACCATTAACATCCTAATGAACCCTACCTTATTGTCATTAAGAAATTGGAATCATACGATAATCTAACAACTCCTGATCCTATGGGATGGGTCTCAATGCATTTGATGAATCGAAGAAAAAAAATGAATTTGAGGCACATAGGGTCGGGGTAGTTTGGTCACAGAGTTATTTGTAAAGTTTACGGTATAAAACTATAAATCATGAATGCATTTCACATCAATGATCAAACCCAGTCCCAACTAGTCTTATGGTCAAATGCAGTTGGTTGTAGAATGTTGACTTGTGGTGGAGGGTTAGTGCCTTAGTGGGTTGGGGATCACACATTTTTCTTGTCAAGATTCTGCTTTTATAATCTTTGTTTCAATAAGTGATATAAATGTTTTATGTTTTCAGTATTTAGTGAAAACATAAAACATTTATGCTACCATTTACGTAAACCCATATATATCTATAAGTATATATTTTAAGTACAAAGCAATATAGATGTTTGAGAGTCACTTATAACGACAATTAATGAAGTGATTTCAACAATGAGTCTATCTAACATTTTTCGATAAACAAATACAAATGAATCCGATGCAACTTTTTCCCTATATTTGCAATATCGATCAGATGCTTACTGTAACGTTGTTTTGTTATCATTACCATGATATTTATCAAGTGAGGATGTTCTAGAATGACTACATGTCATTCATGGATGTCTTAAACATGAAAAAATAGACACTAATAATATAAATATGTAACTTTCGTTATCCAATAAATCAAAGTGTTTATGTCATTTTTAGTCACTAAAATTTTTTTGGATGTTCTATTTTGACCATTATACTTTGTTTAAGCTACCATTGGTCATTGAATTTGTTTATTTTTGTTTATTTTGGTCACTCTAACCGGGTGTATAACATCGAACGACATTGTTATAATTATAATTAGTCATCGAACTTTTGTGGGTGTTTTATTTTAATCATTATAATATTTGTTTAAACTACATTAATCACTGAACTTGTTTATTTTTTTTTTTTCGTTTTTTTAATCTATTTTTTATTATCATTTATAAAAAATAAAAAAAACTATTTTTTCTCCACAACTAAACTTGTTACATCAATTATTTTAGAGTAAATTATGTGAGTAATCCTTGTGATTTTGGGTAGCGTGCACATTTAGTCCTTAACTTTTTTTAACTTGACCACTCATAATGGCTTTAAAAAATATTATCTTGTCCTTATCTACCCAATCCCTCTTGTCGTAGGTAGAAACACACCCAATCATCATTGATAACTATTTATACTTTAGGTGACCCAATGAGAAGTCTTCGTATCATTTGACCCAAAGCAGACAATATCTTGTTACATATGAAGCAACTGAAAACATTAACAACTCTACTTCTTCTTCAAGAAGCTCGAATCAGGGGACTCGATCCTCCTTCAACGCACAAAGACTATGTTTTGTATGAAGCAATTGAAAATATTAAACATGGACACTAAAATAATTGTTATAACAAGTTTAATCATAAGGATTATTCATATAATTTACTCTAAAATAATTGTTATAACAAGTTTAGTTGTGGAGAAATAGATTTTTTTTTCTTTTTTTGTAGTTTTTTTTTAATTTTTTTTTTATAAATAATAATAAAAAAACAATAGACTTAATTGAGGTTTGATTGATACTTTCTAAGTACATATTTGGACCACGACCACATGGGTATAATTATAAATAGAGATACAAAAGACAATGGGCCAGCTCCACAAGACTTTTACCTAAAACAATACAAATGGGCTACATATCAAATAGAATAAATGATAGTTTTGGTCCCTGTGGTTTGTTCAGATTCGCACATTCAATCTAATCTTTGAAAATTTGACAAGATGCATCTCTATGGTTTGAAGAAATTGCATTGCACATCCTCAATCCATTTAAAAAGACCATTTTACCCTTACTTTTATATTTTTGTTTTTCTTATATATATATATATATATATATATATATATATATATATATATATGTTTTTTTTAATTTATTTATATTTTTTTGAATTTTTATTCGAATATATTTTATAATGTTTTTTTATTTTGTTTGTTTACATTTTTTAACGTTTTTTTTGAATAATTTTTCTAGATTTTTTTAACATGTTTTGTTCGAATATATATTTTTTTTAATGTTTCTTGATCTTTTGTTTTCTTATATATTTGTAAAGCTTTTTATAAATATTTTTCGAGTTCATTTTTTTTATTTTTAGAAATTTTGTTCGTTTTCGAGTTATATGGTTTCCAATTAGCCATTCAATAAATTGAATCCCGTTTTCAAATTTTGGTTAGCCTATCTATTAATCATATTAAAAAAATAATTTTATACCTAATCTATGTTAATAATATTCACATTTAACGAATTTTTTTACATTTTCTACAAAAATATTTTAAAAAATATAAACAAACAAAACGTAAAAAACAAATGTATTCATATAACACGCCAAAAAACTAGAAAAAAATTATTCAAAAAAATATAAAAATACAAATGTAAAAAAACATTAAACAATATATTCGGAAAAATATCAAATAAAATATAAATAATAAAAAATATAAATAAATAAAATAAAATGTAAGCGAAATTTTTTTTAAAAATTA